CCCCAAGAAATAATCTTTGATTTTTTTATTCTCTCTCCTCAGATCTCATCTGGAGAGGCTTATCTGGTCTACAGACAGAGGATTCAGTCTAACACGCAGTTCAATCAGTATATAGCTGCACTCTACAAGGTAGTAGGCACCTTTCTGTTTGGAGGAGCTGTCAGCCAGTCACTTACTGACCTTGCAAAGTACACTATTGGGCGTCCAAGGCCAAACTTCATGGCAGTGTGTGCACCGAAAGTCTGCCCAGGATACATGCCGGTGATCAACTGCACTGGGGCTCCTGAGGATGTCACAGAGTCTAGGTAGGAGGGACTTCCATTAGTTTCTTTATAGAGGAAACAAGAACCTCACACAAATTACACAGATTGTAACATACTGTGAAAAGGAGGTCTAACACATTTTACATGATATTGATGCTACAAAATGCTACTGTACAAATATCCTGTGTAAAGCAGTTACATCTGAATTGTGTTTTTTTTCTCTAGATTGTCCTTCTATTCTGGTCACTCCTCTTTTAGCATGTACTGCATGCTTTTCCTAGCGGTAAGTACAGAACGTGAGCTTCAAGAAATCAAACCCATCTCTCTGTACGGTTAAAAAAAAATTAAACCTCTGGGCTCCTTTAAAAGCATTCTCATGCATTTAGATCTGTACTCAGAGACATAAAAGGGAAAAGTGGAGTCCAGGGGAAGAATGTAGTGAGACAAATGAATCTGGAATAGTCTGCAACCCTTTTCCCAGCAATGATGAAGGCAAAGCACGAGCTCTGACCTGTCTTCCAGGCCTATTCAGCTCATTCCACTTGGCCCCATCTCTTCGTTTTAAAAGGCACCGCAGCTAGACAGCGAGCTCCAAGCAAAGCAGCTTTTATTTTTTCAGTTCCAAGAAAAGAGCGTCCAGCTAGTGTCCATTCCTGTCTTTGGCGCTCTCTGTTTTGCCAGGCATATGCTGCAAACAAACATAGAGCTCAGCTGTGACATCCAGCCCGTGTCCTCCGGGCTGCCTTGAAAGAGTACGCTATAGTGCTGACTGCAGTGTAGCCGCACGGCAGGCGGACGGTGGTGCGATGCCAATTTTTACACCTTTAACAGCAGCCGAGCAGAGTTTTTAACTATTGCCAGATTCATATTTTGTTGGCGTCGGTGCTTTCCAGCATAAATGGGGTTTGAGTCTGTGGAGAACATAAATTCGATTTGTACTCAGCACCTTTTTAAAGTTAAATCTAATTTGAGAGGTGCCAGCTACTGTTTTCACTGCAAACTCAAGCACCAAAGTCATAGCCTGTTTTTTAAAGGATCCAACTAGTATCTTGATAGTGCTGCAGTTTAAGCACATTTAGAAATGGCAGAAATTTCCCTACTTTACTGTTTTGTTAGCATATCACATTGCAGTTATGATGTATGATGCAGTGTTGCCATAATATAACTGGTTATGTATTGGTGTGATAACCTTTTTAGGTTCCAGCAGTGCTAATAGCATCATTGCTCTCTTTTTCCTCTCTGTTTCCACCTCCAGCTTTACGTGCAGGCGAGATTTGTGGCAAAGTGGGCCAGACTTCTCCGGCCCACCATCCAGTTCTTCCTGGTGGCCTTCGCGGTTTATGTGGGTTACACCCGAGTCTCTGATTACAAGCACCATTGGAGCGATGTGCTGGTGGGGCTGCTGCAGGGAGCGCTTGTTGCTTTGCTAAATGTGAGTCTCCACGGCAACGTCCTACAAGATAAATGCTACAAAAATTAGTGATTTTATAGTAACACAGCCATTATTTTTAAAAGCTTACGCCTGGGAACTTTTGCCAGTTTTTCTTTTTACTTCTCCTCTTGAGAATTTATGATTACATGGAGACTTTTTTTATACCACCAGCTTCCTACCTGATGACATATTAACTTTGCATCTTCGTCCTGTGGTTTCCAAGTGCTGGAAAGGCAAACACGGGTGTGACCGTCTAAATCATAAAAATGACATTTAGTGGAAACGTTAGCAGAATAGCTCAAAACATATTTTTTTGCCATAGATTTTATTCCCACAGTTAAAAGCCATGTAGAGAGGAAGCATGAGTAGAGTGAAGTGCGACAGCAGCATGGTGTGTCTTGATACAAACCCACATACTTACAGCTGGCAGGTAACAAGTCCATTCACCTCCTTCATCCAGCTGGGCTTCTTTATTGTTTGGCCACTTCCCTGTTAGGATTGAACCACTGTCAGCTCTGCCTCGTGGAAATTCTGGAGTGGTAGAGCGTGTGTTTGTGTGTCTGTGTGTGTCCATGCATGATTAATTGGGATGTGAGCCTGCACCTTTGGCCTTCACAGTGCTGCGCGCAATTAGAGACCCTCCTGGGCATAGGATTTTATGGTCTGCAGGGGTTGCGCCTGCTCTCTGTGTGTTCCTCTCTGATGTGTGTGAGAGTCTGCGTTAGTGTGTCATTTAACAGCTGTTCACAGTCCTCTCCAGACATGTGTAATCACAGTTTCCAGCTCTGCCCGACCTCCTCGGTGTCCCTTACTTGTTTATACTCCAATCTCCGTAGCACAAATAATTTTCTAAGTGACCTGCAATCTTGTCTGGCTTCCTTTTTTCTGTCCCCTCTTAATCTCTCCTTTCCTCTCCTCTGCAGGTGCACTTTGTGTCGGATTTCTTCGAGAAGTGTCCTAAACGTTCCAAGAGGCCTGGCACTCGCGATAGTGAGGAACCAGAAAGGAAACCCAGCGTGCAGATTGCAGACTCTGAGAACAGCAACCATTACAACTACCACAGTCGTGGCACTGTGTGATAGTGAACTTATAGGAACAAAGACTGCAAACCTGCAGACCACAAACCTGTGTGATAGCGTCAAATCCAGGGGCTTCGACCTGGTTAGATCAGGTAATAACCTGGGTTATATGCAATCCTGACTCTTCAGGATGCCTTCTGTCCTGGAACTGTGTCAAATTTTAATGTTTTGGTAATTTTTGCAATCGGCCCTTTGTATTTGTGTTTTAAAAAAGAAAGGAAAAGCTATACTTGTGGCCTATAACTTTCAACCTCTTTTCTCTGCATCAACCACTCACTTTCCACCTGCTCCACTGGATCTGAGGGATGCAGCCCATCTCTGGGCACCTGAGACACAACCATGACACTTTTCTCCTGTAAGAGAGAAAGAAGCATATTTTCAAGCTATCATTATTAACGGTAAAGCAAAAAAAGCTGCATTAACTGAAACATCACAAACCAAATGCAACATGGGTAACATTGTTACCTGTGTTAGCAATGCAGGTTTCCATAGCCGTAAGCTTCCAGTGTCTTTTTCCAGCACACTGACAAAAAAATGTCAGATAAAAGTCTCTCTGCATTTGGGTTGATACATATTCTACTTTCTTTACTCATTACTTGCAAATTAGGGTTGTTATTATTATGCAGTATGCATGTTATCTGTTCCAGAATGGATCAGTGACAGCACCTAGATTTCAGTTATACAGAGCGAATGCAGTGATGACCTAAAAGTGCCAAAAACTGCACCAGAATCTGGGCACGGTTTCCGAATTCAAAGCAGCTATTTCACTTCCACTGAGTTCTTTAATTTTAATTAAAACTACACCGATTAATGGAGCTTTAACATTAGAGTGTATATTTTGATTTGTGAAAGTAGAAAACCAAATTTGTCTAGAATAATTGTAAAGAGAAGAACGTTCAGGCACGAATGTTTCTAAGTGTTGGTGGATTCATGTCATTTTGTTGGACCTACAGTAGAAGAATACTGAATTTCTGACTGTCGGTTAACTTATTTTCCTATATAATGCCATCCTGTTGACAGCATGTCTCAAAAGCTAAAATACAGGTTTTTTCCTGGCAGTTGATCAAATCATGGAGTCCGTGTCACCTCGTTCCACAGAAATCTATGGATCTTCCTGCTTGTTTGATGAAAACACGTTTTTAAAATGCTTGAGTAAATATTACCCGAATTAACAACGTTGTTATAATTTTTTATTACACTGCTGATTTTGTGGTGGTTTTTCTTCGGCTCTGGCTAAGATCTTATTGGCATGTGGCCCTAAAAAAACTCCTGAAACGTTAGCTATAGACCATCCAGAGCTGCTTACATGAGCTGTAGAGCCGGTTCACCAACATGGGAAACAAGAACATCCAGTAATGTTTCATAACTGCCGTACAAACAGATCCGTGTCTCTGCTAGAACAAACATTTTGTTCTTAAAGTGCTCGACAGGTTTACCAGCTGACAACACGCTAATTAGATTAGTGCTCATTCATGTTGGCAGACGTCACTAACTGTCATGTGATATCACTGATTTCATTACGTTTAGCATGAAACTGAGCTAAGGTGAGGACACGTCGAATCTTCAGCTTTTAGGCTCGTGTCCAGACTGGAAAGTTTCTGAAATGTAAACATGTAAGTGTGGATTAGATTAATGATTTTTTTTTTTTGATCACCTATGTGAAATGGGCTGCAGTAGCAGACACCATTGATGCCTGTAGCTTTTATTTCTGCTGGACTTGATGTGTCATACCACTACTATACAATCAATCAAATATTAAGAAACGTCGCCTCTATCTTGTCCCTTTTCCACTTTTTTTCCAATTTTTTGTTAGAGAAAAAAATTTTGTTTAGCAAATAATAATCAAAGATGGACAAGAAAGTGGTTAATAAGTTATTTTGAATATAAAATGTTCTTTATGTACTTTTATAAGGTTGGAAGTGCCAGCTCTAAGGTTTTTTGTGCAATCACCCCAGCTTGCCACTATGAGCCACGAATACTGTACCCATGAATGCTATAAGACATGTTTTTGAGTTTTGTCAAGGA